TGGACTCAAAGCCAGCCAAGCTCTGTGGGGGCTGCCAAAGCATGGGGCCTGGGGCAGTTACCCTGATTCACTCCCCCTAGGGACAGCATCCTATACTAAAAGAAGACCCAAGTCTTAAAGAGGTCTTCCAGGAAACACCCATCCTAGCCTTTAAACAAGCACTGACCCTTGTCAACCTCATCACCAGATGCAAACTTCCTACAGTGACAAGAACTGTAAAACCTGTCAGCATATCTCCACCACCGCCACAATAACTACACCCCACAACAGAACCATCAGCATTCCTGGATCTTACAGCTGCACCTCCAGAAATATACATATCTCATCCAGTGCACCAAATGCCCTGATGGAAAATATGTAGGAGAAACCAAACAAAAACTGCGTACCAGAATGAACAGATACTGAAAATCGATCAAAGACAAAAATATCCAGTTATCTGTGGGGGCACATTTCTCGCAAGAAAATCACTCTCTCTCCAGTCTCTCAGTTTTAATCCTCAAAGGGAATATCCAAAATATCTTTTGCAGGTAGGCCTATGAACTTCACTTCATCAACCTACTGGATACAAAAAGTTCATGGACTAAATATAAACATTGGATTTATAAAACCTTATAACCTGGCTAACATCTGATACCCCAGGTAACCTTGCTACTATTTATCAACTATATTCTTATCACCAGGTGTACATTCCCCTTTCCACCCCTCTTCTGCCTCACTTAGCATCTTCACTGACTGGCATTCTCACATGCATACTGGCCTTTGGCTTCCATTCTAGTCCATCCAGGAAGAGCACAGACCAGCTGTAGATGCTTTCTCATCCTGACAAAGGGTGTTTGTACCCAAAAGCTTGCAAAGAAGAATTTTTCCAACTATTTTAGCTGGTCTAATAAAAGGTCACACGTGTAAAACTACAGATAGGAATTTTCAGTTCACATTTGGCCCTAGGTAGTATACATGCAAATTTAGCTTTTATTTAGAAATAGAAGATGGGGATGAGAATGGAGGATGTGCATAAACTGTTGTAAGTGCAACTTATGTACACATTTCTGAGCTAGCTTTATTTAGATGCTGCTAGCAGTGCAGTCTCGGCAACACAGAGCTTAGCGTGGATTCAACCCCTGCCTGAGATGTTGGGTAAATGCAGGTGGCCAATAGCAAAGATGTGTCATGAGTGACCCTGTTTTTGCAATCATGGGAATTCAGTTGTATGTGATCCTGACAGATTAATTTGTTTTCCTCTGCTTCACTTATCCTCACCATTTCTATGATTCATAGAGAAGAATAATAAAAAAGGATTTAGAGTACAAATTGAGGATCACCTGCAAAGCCATAAAGAGCAGATCCTGCTCCCAGTTGAAGTCAAGGTAAGTTTTGCCATGAGGGCTAATGGCAGCAGTGTCAGGCCTTCAGGTATTATGAAAAACAAAAGTTAAGTTTAAGTTTCAGGACCAAAAGATAGAAACCCTGTGCTCTAAAGGCAGAAGAATTTTATTTTTATCCCTTCATAACCAGATGTGTAAAGAAGGGGGAATGATCAACATTGAAAACAGACATACTTCTGAAATCCAGTAACAAATCTGAACTCGAACACAAATAAATGTAATCATTACACTTGATGAGCTGCTTCCTCAAAAGATATACTCTGTAAGGAAATGTTAGAATTGTTTCAGTAAGTTAAAATTGCTGCAATTAAAACTATTATTAAACCAGATTAAATAAAGCAGAAAATTGCTTTCAAGCTGGAGCCAGCAGTCTCTGTCCAGTTCTATGCTCCATGTTCCCTGTGGTGTTTACCCAAAGATTATCTTGTTTATGTTATGGTTATTATACTTCATAGAAAATAATCAAGGGAATATTTCTTGTTTTATGGCAAAGAGTGGATGCAAGTTGCTTTTATACAACATTCTTGGGTTTGAGATAGTGTGATATTTAATAAAGTGTTTATAAAGTGAGATATAATAGTTTATCAGATCTCAGGCAGTCATAATAACAAATCCACCCTTAGCCTGAGTGCTATGTACTGTATTTTGTAATTTATAATACAGTACTTTCTAAATTACTTTGTAGACTAAGAAATTTGCCCACCAAAGAATCAATCTTTTTGGAACTGAAGAACTCTCTTCCTAAACATTTTCGCTTTCCATACAAATCATCATTTATAGCTTGGATTCAGACGCAAATTAAACCTCCCTCTACTTGTAGTAATATATCTATGCTGTAAGAGGTTTTAGTAAAGACAGATTTTTTATTTTTATTTTTTAAATTTTCATGGGATATTTGTAATATTTTAAGATAATTTTTTTTCTAAAAAAGCACAATCAACAGGAGTGGTGAAACAGACTTCAACTGAAAGTGTGGGACTATAAATTGAGAACTAAATGAAATTATTTGAGTGGGAATGAACAACAACCTATGAAACTGTTAATATGGAACGGGGCATTTTAATTCAAACTCTTACGAAGTTGTTGTCTCCCTAAGTCTGGTTTATTAGGTTCAGTTGAGTACTGAATGCAGCGGCTTCCACGTCAGCAAAAGTAAACCAATGTCACTGGGGCCAATTTTTCACTGACCTACATAAAACTCTTGGAGACAAATCATACAACTCCAGTAAGTATGTACTGGACATCTGTTTGACCCTCCTGATGGTCGATCATGAGCTCTTCCTCCACTTAGATTGGGCTTCCTGGGATGAAGGAAGCAAACTGACAAATCTCTCTCTCTCTATACATATATACAGGATGGCCCCAGCAATTTTTGGTTTGCAAAACCAGGTTGTCAAATTGACAATTCCTTTTAATATGGAGAGACTGACTTCTTGGGGCTGTCTTCTCCCCACATTTCCAACAGGTACGCTAAGTCACTAGAGTTGGCCATGATTTGTTAAGGAGGAATCCTTCAACTACCAGACTTTGGCTGGTGGCATAGCGAGCATGTGTTTGTCTAGATAGCTCTCTCACTAGTAGGGAGCATAGTATCTGGATAGTGGATACTATGGATAGTATCTGGATCTGGATACTTTACTGGCAGCTAGTTTTTATACTATCCCCCATGCAAGGTCAGTCAATCATCATTGTGTCCAGGAGTTTCCTATGGGATTTCCAAACGTGCAGGATAGATGACTAGGTTGTACTCTTATGGCAAAATCAGAGGAGGGGCTTGGAAATTTAAGTTCAGATGATTATTCCATATCAGGATAGAAACAGACTGGCAAAAGGTTTTGGGAAAGCTTGCATGGCTGCTGATCTAGCTTGCTGGTCACTCTGGTTTGTGGATAAAGAAAAATCTTTGCTTCACTTGTCACCTACATGGAGTATTGTAATTCATTTTAAAAAGGATTTTGAGAAAGATCATAATGTAAAAAATGTGATATATTTCTCAGAGATTGAGATATATGCAGTTGTAGAGCTATATTAAAGAAAAGAGATGTGTGTCTGTGTATCATCTTGTTTGAGAAAAGTTGATCTCCAAAGCTAATTAAAAGTATGTTCCTTCAGGTTTATATACTTCTTTTAGCAGTCAGAGCTATCTATGCATTAGTATGTGTGTAGCAGAAGACTATAATATTAGGTGGAAAAAATGCTCCAGTTTAAATAATTTCTGATGCTTACTCACAGTAATTCAGATGTCTCATGCAGTAAACACAATTTAATAATCCACTTACAATATGTGGCATGAGTGATAGACTAAAAGGAGTGAAAGTCGTATCCCCAAAGTAATGTCAGGCCTTGGCTACAGCAGATGGTTTTGCATGATGTTAGCTTCATCAAGGCAAGCTTCCAATGTAGACAGGCTACAGTTTCATAAATATAGTTAAGCATTACACTGGTGCAGCTAAACAGGCACAAGAATCCCTACCAGAGAGGAAACATTAGAAAAGCAAAAGCAATGACTATGACAGACACTTCTGCACATACAATGTGAGGGTGGCCTAAAGACATTTTTTCTCATTATCTGCTTCCACTTGGCTGATGTCTGTTGCCATACTATAGGCTGCTGTAGTATAAACATTTCCAAGCCTGAATAGACTTTGATAGTTTTATATCTTATATTATAATTATGATATATTACAGGGGTAGACAACCCCCGGCCTGTGTGCCAGAGTGTGGCATGTAAAGACATTTTGCTTGGCATGCATGCCTTGGGGTGGAAAGCTGGGATGCTGCAAGAAGCCCGATCCTTATTGTGGCAGTGCAACCCTGGCCCCTTCTCCGCTGTCTGCCAAGATATGCATGCATTTGCTGCTTCATTATTCCATCATACTTCATTACTCCACCATATTTCATTACTCCAAGGGCAATGCATACTTCCTCAATTTTCCCTTCACTAAAATGCATGAATAGAATGAATAAACAATACTTTAAGTCCCCTACTAGTAAACTACCACAGTGCACATAATTCTCCTTCTGGGGAGAGGAATCAGGGGATGTCAAACTTCATGGGACTGAGTTTAATTGTGTTTAATGAACTTAATGCTTGCAAGACACTCAGATACTCTGGGCAGGAAGAAGGTATGAGCATTTTTTGTGGACACTGGAATAGAAAACAGTGCATTTCTCATAGCAGAAGCTTTCTGTTCTGCCATGTTTGTGTTAATGTACTTTGCTACTAAATAATCCACCAACTGAAAAGATTGTCTATTAGTTACATTAATAATTTAGAAGGCCTGGGCTGTCTTCTCAGTTCTGCTATAGATTTTCTCTGTGACCCTGGAAAAGTCACTTTAGCACCTAAAATAAGACTTAGATGGAATATAGGTACCAAAGTCCCAAACTACAATCCTGAAAAACCCTGTTTACCCCCAGAAATACCCAAGTCTTGGCAGGATTGAAGAGTTCTGCACTTAGGTTATATCTAAGGATGACAAGGCTCTGTAAATAAGGTGCTCCTCTGCTTATCTTCCCTGAGGCTCTTGATTCAGTATATGTTCTTAGAGGTTAACTAGAACGTCTGGCTCTGCACAAAATTCAGATGCAATTGCCTCTGTTAAAATGCTGGTGCCATCCCACATTTCTAAAGCATTTGGGTGATTAGGTAAGTCACCCAGCATGTCACAGATGTGAACTCTAGTTCCTCCACTCCCTGATGTGGGGGTTGAATCCCTCAGGCAGGCATTGGATTTGAAGGCCAGTCCTCCACAATGATTTCTAAAGAAAAGTGGATGGATGCCTCCCTTCCAGGCTGGGAATTCAATGTTGAGGGAAGGACTACTCCATTGCACTGAGCAATTCAGGATTGAAGACGTATCCCTGTTCTCAGGGTTCCCTTATTTGCTGCTCTGGCAGCTCCCTGCTTACCATGCTGATTTTATCAACCTTGTATGGATCCCAGGCTGAGGTACCTAGTGTTTTGAGTATGCACTGTATAGGAAGCCTAAATATCTAACTTGGCATAGTAGATTCCATGCTAGGGGCTAGGCACCCAACAGATAGGTATTGACATGTCCTTTTTTGAATCTGGGGTTTAATTTCACTGGGTGCATCTACATGAGATGCTTTACTGCGAAGTAGTGTAGTTTACTGCACAGTAAGTATGTGCGCTTACATGTGCATATGCTTATTGTGCAAACTTCTCTATTTGTGAATAAATTTGCTACTTGCAAATGCAAGTAGCAAATTTACTTGCAAGTAGTAAGTGCACAGCAGCACACGTATAGATACCAACCAGGAGCAACTTTGCTCCTGATCAGCCCTGCCGCTAGGGAGCCAGCCTGAGCTCAGCCCCAGGGCCCCTCCTGCCTCAGGGCTGGGCCACCTCTATGGCAGTTCAAGCCACAGGCCGTTTAAAAGTTGGAAGATATTTTGAGCCCTGGGATACAAAAGCAGGGAGCCTGGGGGGACTTTTGGCTTCTGCTGCCCCTACACAGGACACGGGCTACCTATGCCAGCCTGCCTGCACCCTGGTGTCACTGCCTGGCACTACAGTGCTGTGTAGCTGCCAGGGTCATCCCTGAGGGGTGCAAACAGGGGCAGGCCCCATGCTTTGGGGGGCCCCGCAGAGCCAGGTGGAGAGGCTGTGGCTACAGTTCAGCACACCAGCCTGCCTAGTGGGTTGGACAGCTCTTTGCCTGTTCCAGCCAGAAGTTCTGGCTGCCAACAGTCCTGCCACATCCAGTGTGCCAGGGCTTTCATTCCCTGGTGTGAGTATGCCATGGGACAGGGAGGTGGACCCCATGCAGGCTGCTTTGCCCCAGGCCCCGCACTCTGCTGTGACTGTCTCTGGACAAGGTTATGTCATCCAGGGCTGCAGGCTGTTGTAGGCTGTTGCTAGGCCTGCCGGCACCCAAATCCAGCTGTAGGCAGCTCCTGGCCACCATGGCCAGCTCCAGCTGCCCGCAGCCAACCCCCAGCAGCCTGGCCAGATGCTGCAGGTGCTGTGGGACATTGTCTCACCACACAGATCCTAGTCCCATGCTAAGCCCTGGCAATGGGTGCTTTAGGCAGAGCCCAGGCCCAGCAGGAGTGGGACAGCTGCATGGAAGCCCAGAGAGCCAGCATGCAAGGCCCAAAGGCATCCTCACCCATGCCACATGCTACTACCTGGGGCTTCATCTGGTCCATGGGGGAGACTGGTGACCTTGGGGCACTGTGGGGTGAGGGGGAGGTACAGTGGCAGTTCACATAGGGCGGGTACTCCAATATGCATGCCTATGAGGGGCTGTCAGGCCAGATGCGAGAACACAGGCATGATCGGTAAGTGCTGCATAAAGGTTAAGACCTTGGAGGCACAGTGGGTTACAATCACCAACTACAACCATCAGTTAGGGAGTGCTCGCAAGTCCATGCCCTTTATGCAGCAACTGGATGCCATCCTCATGCCCTGGGTATCAGGTCACAGGTATGCTCTGTACTGCAGCATGGGTGGCTTGCCTGAGCTTCCACTCCAGCCTGACATCCATGGTGATGTCACTAGGGGTGGGCCCCTTGGGCTCCCAGGAGCCTGTCCCACTGAGCTCCCTGCCTCCACCAGCAGCTCGGGGAGCCCAAGCCAGTGCCTGCCTTGACACCTGTGCTACCTCAGCCCTAGCTATGAGGCACAGCTGGCTATGTCACCATTAGCTACCAGCAGCATCCTCCCTGGCGGGGGTGGCCTCTGTCCAGGCATCTGCACACCATGCCCCACTGCCTGATGAGTCCACTAGGAGGTTGCATCATCACCGCCAGCCGGGATCAACTGGAACTGCCGGGCACACCATCCCCACGCACCTGGTAAGCTTTGCACTGGGGGGAGAGCCCTCCCCACCCCGGCCCCTGACCCTGGCCCCAGCCCAAGGCACTGCTCTCCTCCCCACTTGGCCTCACTGCACTCCCTTAGCCCCCAGGTTCCTTCCTTCCTCCACCGCATGCAGGGAAGTGAGAGACAGTGTAAAACTTTATTGAACAGCCTGTGCCCCTGCAGCTAGGCAGGCATGGCCCTCTCATACATCAAGGAACATGTCAAGGGCATGCACAGCACTTCACTTCTTGTAAATAGTTCGCATGGGGAAAAGGGTGTTTCATTGGTAGTGGGTGGGGTGGGTGGTGGTGAGGGAGGGAAGGCGGGGAAGGGAGGTCTCTGTTGTGAGCGTAATAAAGTGTTTTTCTGAGAACTGTCCACAGTGAGCGTGGTGCTGGGAGTGGGTGGTGGGGTAGGGGGTCCATGGGCAGCTGTCCAGGTAGGCTACAGCAGGCAGTGCAGGGGAGGTGGTTGGCCAGTGTCTCTTGCACCCATTGCCCTGGTCCCCACTGGCAGGTGTGCACCTTGCCTGGGGCCTCAGTTGGTGGGGGCCCACTGGGGCTATCAGGGGAGCTTCAGGTGCTGGGCATCATTCCCAGGGGCAGGGTTTGGAGCAGGGATGGTGTGGACAGGCAGAGGCTGTGGTGAGAGAGCTGGCCCATGCTGGCTCCGGCCTCTGCATGCTGCTGCTAGCTAGAAAAGCAGCTGGCCAGGGGTCAGGGCATGGAGCTACCTTGAAAAGATGGCTGCCAGCTCCTGGTAGCTATGGCTGGAGCCTCTAGATCCCCCTGGTGGCAGCAGGGACCTATTGCAGGGCTGCAGGAAGTGGCAGCAGCTTGCTGCTTGGAGCAGCAAATCTGTTCCCACACCCTTGCACATGTAGACACCTGACTGGAAGTGTTTACTTGAGAGTAGTTTACTCACAAGCATACTGGTCCTGGATCAAATGCATATGTAGATGCACTCACTGTGCCTCAGTTCCCCATCTCCTAAAAGTGAAATAATAGTATGACCCTGCATACTCAGAATTAATGATTGTGAGACACTCAGATCCCAAGTGGATGGGGGCCATATGCAACTACCATTCTAAAACTAACAACACAGCAATGGAGACTGAGAACACCTTTATATTACAGCTCAACCCCTACATCCAAAGACATTTGGTTACAATTAAAGATGATGGGTCAAATCAGAACTGTTTATCCAATCCTCCCTAAACTTTCGTGGTTTAAATCAAAAGAGACCCAGATCTGAACTACCCCATGCTTTTGGTTTTCCAAAATCAAAACTCAATCCACACGGTTTTTCTAAACTAAAACCATCCCAGTTTTTGGTGACTTGCAGTTGCAACATGACTTACAATTTGTATATTATTTTCCTCTTTGCACAAGAAAAATATGAACAGACCAGAAGTTACACTGATTTTGAGAGGTTGACTTAAGGTCAGTGAAAAATTGATAGCAACTTTTCAGATGAAAAAATCATCAAAGCTAAAGGAAGCTTCTCAAAGTGGGATTTAATAGCAGCTATCATATTGCTTTCAATGACCTGACCATTTCTTGTGCAGCTGTTTTATTTTAAAAGATTTCAACCCTCATCCCACATGTATGGTTCTGTACACTGACCTAAGTACACACATCCAAGTACTTTGGTCACTCATGATAACTATAAACCCTTCAGTGAACTACCAGAAAGGTAGTTCAAATGGAAATGGTGAAATTCAATATAGCGTTTAACTAAGTTACTGTCTAAGGTTAAGCCTAAAGAACAATCAGCAACATCGGGAGGAAAGGCGAATATATTAATTGGTACCGGGACACCAGATATACTCAATTTTTCCTGAAACTTGTCAAATAACCATGATTATGCTTTAGTTTTATTTTATTTCTAGTTCTTTTTATTAAATAGAACTTAGATTCAGACCTGGACACAAAGTGTGGGATTTAAAGAAAAAAATGTAGCATTTCTTTCAGTGCAATGTAGGATGCAGTTTTCAAAAGCATCAAAGTCAATGAGCTATTCAGCTCCCATGGATGGGCACCTAATTTTTTAGGTGCTTTGAATGAAACCTGAAGGCCTAATTTGTATTTCATACCAGCATAACTCCATTGACCTGAATAAAGTTAATCTGGTATAAAATCAGAAGAAGCAGTTGTGAATCAGAACAGTGGTGAAAATGGTCTCCTCTGAGAGAGGTTTATTTACATCATTGAAACAGCTGTCAGTTCATCTCTTAATTCAGTCCATTCCTGAAAGTCTTTGTGAATTTTGAATTCCTTACATAAAGACAAAACCCACCAACTAGTGAACCAAATAAACTAATGGAAAGTTTGGATTTTTGAGGGCAATGGCAGCTTCACCTGTGACTTGAGTGGGACCTGGTGAGTAGTGTGAGCTTTGGCAAATTTTGTCTGGTTATAGTTTTTCAAAATGTGAATCGTTGCTTTGGCCCATGTTTGAGGAATATATTTGGAATACTGTTTTGTTAAAAATATTTTTTGAATGGCAAATTTTACTCACAATTATTGGACATGATGTGTTTCCTTTATGCTTATAGATAATCTCTGTGACACGTGCCACACTTTCAATTTAAGATGCCATACAAACCAGCCACAAAGATGTTTAGGTTTGGTTTGCCATTTTATAGACTTAGAAATTGCCTGATCTGTGTCATGTTGCAATTTATGGTATGATTAACACATTAATCATACCATAAATGCAACATCTGCCAAAGCTCTATTTTAATTTTCCCCAAATATCGAAAATTCATTAGTCGTATGTTAGCTCAGGGAGCTCGAAAATTGGAAAATAATTGCACGCCTGGGTTTACATTGGTAAAAGAGAGGTCAAAATATGGCTATGACTGTATAAAATAGGTGTAACTGGAATGTATTCAACTTGTTTTCAGATACATAATAAGTAAATTTGCCCTTGACAAGCCCTATCATGCTATAACTGAATCCAGTGGGAAGCTTACTACTGATTCCCATTAAGGTTGTGTTGGGGCTAAGACCTTCCTTTTCCTTATCCTCCCTTTTCCTTCCTCAGTATCCTAGAGCTCTGACATGGCACTGCTTCAAGATGCTGTTAGTTACTTTGACTATGTACCTGTAGGGATGCTTCCTCCTCTGGCCCAAAGCTGTCAGCTGTTCAAGAGCATGGAAGGCTCCACTGTGACTAGATGTGAGTGGTGGGGATGGGGTTTGTGTGTTAAACCTTTTCTGACTTCCCCTGGTGTATTTATTTCTGATTCCAAACACTCAGGGGATTGTATCAATCTATTTCCCAACCAACAGGGTACATTCCCTGGGGTCTCCTTGCCTCCCTGAGAACTGAGAGAGACAAGCTACCAGCCAAAACCACACTGATGCAGAAATCCATTAACTCACAGCTCTGATTTATAGCTGTGCAGAAGTCTTACGGGAGCATTGCCTTAATATTGTTTTAATAGATGTTTTGGAGAAAACAAAACAATCGTTAGCTTAGTAATAACCAGCACACAACAGAATTCAGAGGCTGGTTTCACAACCTGAGGCTAACAGAAACTTCCAGTGGAATAAAGGCTAGTCATATCTCACAAGCTGCACAACCTATGGATTAATCTCTCAGTTCTGTTCTCTTTTTTTGAAGGTTTTGGATGCTTCTGAGACCCTGGGAAACACATGGCTGAGGCATATAATACAGGTTGTTCTAAAGGTAAATTCTTGCAATAACATTATATTAACATCTGCCTTAAGGGTAAAATAAAAGAGGGCGTTTGTCTAACACCTTAATAATCCCTAACTGGCTGTGGAAAGGAGGAAAAACACAACGCACAGTAGAAAGCTTAGTTAAGGTATATTAACCAGATCCACATTCTTTAAATCTTTTTGGAGTTTTTATGCAAAAATTATATGCTGTTATTCTAAACTATCCTGTCCTGAAGAATTGGGTCATTTAAAATTCTTTCTTCTTGAACAGTATACAAGTGCACAAATGGTCAATAATATTGATGATTCCCAGAAAATACTGGTTTAAAAAAGAGCTAGCACATGGCCACGGTGAGATTTAGTTGGTATAATAACTTTGTTTAGTAGAACTGCTACACTCAACTATGGCTTATAAGTCATTTTTTATTACATACATCAAATCTGTCATGTGTTACACAATTATAAGACAGTACTCAGTTCTTATGAATGCCTATTTTGGAATTGACTCGTGTCAAATTGATAAAATCTGATAAAAATGTTAAATTGGTCAAACAGATGTCATTTGAAAACTGATAAAAATATTCACGTATGAGCAGAGACCTTGCAGGTCAAATTTCAGTCTGGAGTGCACTTTTATAACCAGTTAATTAACCCCTGATATTAGGGGTTTAATGACAGAAACACTGACACTCTCTTAAAAAGATTTTGCATAATGGGTCTATAATACAGACTACTCACTGTCAAATGAATCTGAAAGGAGAATGGTATCTGAAAGTTAAGGAACAATTTTTCAGTTTGTTTGATTGCAATCAAGCCTTTGGAACAGTTCTGGAGAAACTCATTCTTATAGTACAACTAGTTGTCAAAATAACACAAATCGCTTTTGTTCAACTTGCACTAAGTACATGCAGACCCAAAAGCATTATACTGAATCTTATCCTAGTGAAAGAGCTTGATTCTGCTGCCCCTCATATTAGTTGGGCCAGTAGCCAGAGAATATTTTTAAATATCATTTTAAATAAAAAAGCTTGAAAAATTGTCTTTCTGTAAGAAGTGTCAAAGAACTGAAACCTGAAGGATGTTAATTTACCTTGTAATAACAGAATAATCAGATGCATACTATTTCCCATATTTTTGCAACCAAAGATTAATATTCCAGTCTTTTATATATCCTGTTACTAACTGCATACAAAATCACAGGAATGAACATAATTTAGACTGTACAGCTGAGCATCTG